ATATCCATATTTTTTATCAACAATAATAACCAAACTATTTTTAAAATACTGAAATTAAAAATTAATTTTTTTTGTCAATTATTATTATTTTTTTTTTGTAATTTTTTTGAATAATTGTTTTTTCGAAATAATTTTTTCATTTTAAAATAAACCTATGTCAATTATTTTCTGCCAATTAATTTTTCTATCAATTCATTTGTAAAATACGTTTTTAATTTTTTTATAACATTTTGTTAAAGTCAACAACTTTTAAAAATACATATTAATAAAGAAGGAATAAATACACTAAATTTAATATTTTAAATCTTACAAAACATTATCAATTTTTTTTCCATTTATTACATGTTATGAATTTCGTCCAGATGTGGCAACAGAAATGCAATGCATTATTGTACCCGTTGAGATGGATATACAAGCATAACAGAGTATTTTAAAGTAGTCTGCGATGGATATACAAGAATAACAACGTCAAAATGGTTTGAAGGAGAACACAGATAAAGGAAAAAGAACAAATGATTTTATTTCGAGGAAAAAACATACGTAGTAGATTAATTGAATTTAAATAGCAGAAATATAACCACCAAAAAAAAAAGACAATCAGATAGCAGAAATATAACCAAAAATAAAAATAAAAAAAATCAGTTAACATTGTGTTTAAATAGGAGGAAACAAATCAGTAAAAGAAAAATTAAGGAAAAAAATAGTAAAAAAGCCCGGTAGGTTCAAACAGATTGGTAGGTTCAAACCATTAACGAAGAAATGGAAAACCGGAAGACAAAACCGGAAAAGGTGGGAGGACCAGGTGGTTGACCGGCCGGTCGACCGACCGGATGACCCGGGGGACGACCGGCCGGGTGTCCCAGGCACTGCCGCTTCAGGTTCTGATCGATGAAAGGTTCAAACAGTTCATAATTTAAAATAACAACCGACCTGAAATGGAAAATATGCCTCTACAAATTTAGGATGAAGAATGAAATCATTTATCGACTCATCTGAAATCATTTTCAGATAACAGAGGAATGATGAAGGATTTATTTACCAGATTAGTGGGAGTTGAATAGTTATCGCCGGTGATGGAATGTGTATACTGATTGAATGTGCCATTGTTTGCTCGTCGGATTCGACAATAAATTTGATAAATTTGACCTGAAAAAAATTAAAAATAAATTAAGATGAATTTCTCAAATAATTTCCCTATAACAAAATATGTAAATAAATTTGTGAGTAATTTCACCTCTCAGTCGTCGTTGTTTCGTTGCCCGTAATAAGAATCGTCCACAACGCACAAATCGTAACTCAGTCGATTTGTGAAATATGATACCAGTACAGAGCGGGTTGGGTGGATTCATTATTTATAAAATGAGTCTGAAACCCACCCGTGATGAATATGATGTACGGATGTTTGATACAGAGAAGCCACCCGTGATGAATCTGAAGGACTGATGTAGATGAGGTTCACGTGAAAGTTGCAGAGACGATGAAGAAGGCAGAAACGTTGAAAGGGAGATACAAGCTGCCAAACAGATTTTCAAAATGTAATTTGAATTAACATGCGGAATCAATTTTTGAACGTCGTATCCAAACGTCATGCGCGAGCTCACGTGTTGAAAATTGATTTGAATTAACAACCAAACAGAGCCTAAACTTCCAAACCAATTTGTATCCACTCGCCAACTTGCACAATCCGCATCCACAACTAATTGAGTGGATACGAATTGATTTTTTTCAATCTGTCTAAGTCCGAATTAATGGTAGATGAGACGTCACCCGACCTAACTCGATCATCGGGCATCCTAATAGCTACAACATAATTAGAGTGCTGTTACAACTTAAGTGACTTGCATATAATTTATTTTAAATTAGAAGTGTATGTTTGTTTAGTGTAATTTTTGTTTATAGTTTATTATGCACAAATAATTTTTAAAAGATTGATTATTTAAAAGTTAAGGGATAAATGATTTTAACTTCTACTTCTTATTATTAATTTTTAACTTATAAAAATTGTACCAAACAGGGCCAACGAAGGAAAAATATCCAACAACAATTTAATTTTTTTTTCATAAAATTTTGTTAATTTCTATTAACATGATATCGAGAGAAGTGATTCAAATGTTAATAAAATTTAATTTTAAAAAATAGAGTTTATTGAGAATTTTTCACGCATTTTTTCACAAAATTTGGTGAATGTATTTAGAAGATCTCTTTCAAGATGTTTGTTACAAAATAAAAAGAAGTCACCTGGTTTAACAATACTTGTGAATCCAACATGACTTAAGAAAATTTCATGAGGATGAACTAAATCCTTAACTATATATGTTACGTGTAACTAGATGGAAAAAAATTTCTCGCATTAGAAAGAAGCAAGATGAAGTGATATAAGGTATAGTAACCTTAAAAAAAACACAAAACATTAGAGATAGCTAATCGGTCGTTATTGGGTAGGAGATACTCCAATAATGAAGTCAATTTTTACATAGAAACAAGAGAATGCAGATTAGAAATATTACCTAATGAAGTTGATTGCATATAAATTTTCTTTTGTCCAACTGCCTCCCCTCATATATAATCATGTGCCTTCATTTGGATGTCACTCCATGTGAAGTATCCTTCTTGGAAGACTAGCTTGTAAACTGCCTAGTATCCATCATATCTTATCGAAAAAGTGATTGCCTTTCTTGCTAATCTAATCTTCCTTCATCAGGGATTGCTCAGTGGATTTTTGTGATTTAAACTTGGTATAATATAAAAGGGCTTGCTCAGTGGATTTTTGTTTTCCTAATGTAAAAGGGCTTGCTCAGTGGATTTTTGTGATTTAAACTTGGTATAATATAAAAACATAAAAATCAATTAATCCTGTGAAATGTTTACTTAAAACCTCTCTATTAAAAGGGGGTAGTTGGGTGTAACAGTATTACTTTCTTGGAGATTATGATTAATTGTTGGGATTTGAAAGCTCCATCAGTGAGTAATTACCGTACTACTTACTACATTCGGCACTATGGTACTCCAATTAATTAATTCTTAGGCTACAAGATTAGAGATAAATGCAAACTGACAAATGAAAAACTCAACTGGGATCACAATTGAAGCCAGTGAGATATATACATACAAACAACTTTATATCTTTATAAGTGAGAGAGAGAGAAACCATATGCTAAAAAAATGTTTGTTGTAGTCTTTGGCAATCAGGGGTGGTGTCACTTGAATCCCCTCAATAGAAGAAAAAATTTATTTTATTTTGCATATAATTGTTGTTTTAGAAATGTATTATCATAATTGACCCTACTAAAAAAGTGACTTTAAATCCACAAATTTTTAGGCTTATTAATTATTTACAAATCAATTTCAACTTTTCACATTGTGCCAAACACTATTAGAATAGAGGAAATTGAATGATTATTCTATCAAAATAGTCATTATTATGTTTGGTTGACTAAATAATTAATAAAAATTACATTACAAATGAAATAATTATTCACTATTGTAAGGGGATGATCATTCTATAAGAAAGCTAAAGGAATGATCATTACATTCTATTTTTATCTCATTCTAATGAATCAAATAAAACATTACAACTTATTCAAAGCATTTTAAGCATTAATAAAAAACTCTATAATTCTAAAAGCTAACTTCTATGTTTTTTTCAAATGGGACTCGGAACCTACATAAAAATTAATCTTGGCTTATTTTTTTAAAAAAATATTTTATAATATAAAATACAATTTATATTTTTTGTTTTGGGAATTATCAAAGTCCTTAGAGATTTTTGCCTTTCAATTGACACCACAAACTTAAATTCCCGGTGTTGCCACTGTTGGCAATTAAAAGATGATGAACAACTCAAGACATGGTGTATATGAATAAGTTTTATAAAAAGTTGTGAAATAAACTCAACAAAATCGCCGAGGCTCTTGTGGTTGAGTGATATGTAACCACACCTTAAGGTGTAATGAGTGGAAGGTTTGAGATTCAAGTTGATAAATCAACGGCGACCTCTTTAAGTTATAACTTAATTTTATTAACATACTAACATTCTATCTTTTTTTTTTTATAAAAAAAAAAAATGCCAACAAAATCTAGAGGTGGACTTAGCTTTAGAATATGCAACCAAGTCATTAATGGATGAGAAATTACCAAACAATTATTTCATCGGTAAATAATTATTTAGTAAAAAATACTATACATAAACGGATTTTAAATCTTGATGACCAATACGATTTGTGAATGATTCTGAGTATTTTAAGATTTATTTTATACAAAAACTTCAATAAGGTGAAGAGCTTAGAAAAAAAAGAAGAAAGTAAATTGCACAAACTTCTCTTGAGATTTGAAAAAAAATACAATAAATCTCACAATGTTAATACTCCCTTCGTCTCAAAATATTAGTCTCTTATTCCATTTTTCATTGTCTCAAAATATTAGTCCCTTCTCAAAAATCAAGTATAAAAATAATATAAATTTCCTATTTTGCCCTTCTTTTAAATTAATAAACAATATAAAAAGTACAATTATGACATTGATATTCCCAAAAAATATATTATCAAAAGGGTAATTTTGGAAAATCAACTTTTTTAAAGTGCAATAATTATACTACCAAAAAAATTAGATTTCCCAAAAGGGACCATTATTTTGGGATAGAGGGAGTATAATTACACTTATATCTCTTTTAGTAAAACTAAAGAGATCAAAACTAATGCAAATAATATGAAGACACAAAAATGAACAAACAAACTATTATATGAATGAAACTTTAACAAAACCTAATGTAATTATACAAAATTTATAAGACTTATATTTTTTTCCAAATCTCAAATGAAACTGACATAATTTATAAAATAAAAAAATAAAAACACACACAAAGCAACTGTAAATGGATTTCAGACAAAATAACTATCCTTTAATGGGAATGAAATGTCAAATTTGTGAGGTAGCATTATATAAATTATTCTCTCTCTCTCTCTCTCTCTCTCTCTCTCACAATACATTAAGAAATAGCCATAGTATAGTATATGATAATGGGGAATTGGGGGACCAATGAATTCTATTACTTTATTGACTCCCTCTCCTCTCCTCTCCTCTCCTCTCCCCTCCCTCCTGCATTATGTCAGACAATGCTTCATCCAAATACCTGCTCTCTCAACAGACAGCTTGTTTTTCTTTACTTTTTTCTTTCTAATAAATTCTATCTATTGTCCTTCCAAATAAACAATCTCTTGTATATATATATATAGACACCATTCTCTTCTTCTCCAAACAAATCCCCCAACCACATCCTTCCTCTCTCTCTCTCTCTCTCTCTCTCTCTTGATGTTGTTCACCATGGTGGAGGAAATTATGTTGAAGAAACAAACTTGTGTTCCAAGCAGCACAACTTCAGCATCAGCACTGGGCATGCACAAGGACTCACAAATAATATCAAAAGTGAAGCCAAAGATTCGCATAATTCACATATTTGCACCAGAGATCATCAAGACCGACGTCGAGAATTTCCGAGAACTTGTTCAGAGGCTCACTGGGAAGCCCACAGAAGAAGCCAACAACACAAACAAGAAACCAAGAATTCCAAGAAAAGAAGTGATTCACAAGCCACTGCGAACCGGTTTTCGGTTTTCCGAATTCAGAGAAAGAATTAAGGGTGAAGATGAGATGTGGGGTGGTGGTGAAAACCCAAATACTGGTGGTGGCGGTGGCGGTGGCAGTGGCGGATTTCTAGGTGGATTTGCAGATTTGGATGGGTTCATGCAACAACTTAATGAATATCCATTGCTTCCTTTGGATGCTTCTTCTCAAATGGATGCTCTTGGAGAGACACAACTTGCCTAGTTGATCATTGTTCATTAATTATTTTCATGACTATTTGATTATTATTTTTTTGTTCAACTAATCTCTAATACATGTAGTTCCGTCTTACATATATTCAATAATTATCGATTTTAAATCTATAGTTTCAAGAAGGTGAGAAAAGAATTTTTGAACATTATGGAAAATAGAATCATAGACTTTCACCAACTGATGCAACACCCTTATCAGTTTCATTATTTATTCAATCTTTTATTGTTGATTTTTCCCTCAATTATAAGTTTTTTAATTTTAATTTATAAATGTCTATATATTATGGATAAAGGGATAAACAAACGCTTCTACTTTCATTTTTGTTATTTTGCAATCTCCTCATCTCTAGTTCCACTTGGATTTTTTTAAGCAGCTGAATAAATTGTTTTATTTTGTTTATTTCCAAGTTTTTATTTTTCATTTGTTTTATGAGTTTGTTTCTATCTCTTGGATGTGGGCCATGTCTTACTATTAGGCTTTAGTTTGTTCATGTGGGGCCTTCTACATCTGTCTCTAATGGATCATACGACAAACTCCACCTTTTTTTTCATTTGTACTCTTGAAAAATATAAATACCACAGCATCTCTTAATTTTTCTCACTAAAATAATTTGTAACATTTACCATAACATAGTTTATAATATTATCACAATTGTTCATTATACATACCGTATATTCATTCATTTATAATTTTTATCATAAAATAATATAATTATCACCACAAAATAACATAGTACGATCCTACAAAATTAAAAATTAAATAAAAATATGTACTATTTGTATTTTCATAAATATAACATAATGATTCGTACTTTATGTCACAAAATATTATAAGAAAAGCAACTACAAAATCTAGTAAATTGAATCACCACCACCAGGAAGTCTCATAATCAAAAAGATTGTATTATTCATGTTCATAGCAAAAGAGTAATATTAGAGATTCACATTTGAAATTTACAAATATACTCACAATGATATGACAAGAAAGTAGAATCCCACATAATTAAATGTGAAAAATCAAAAGTTGACCCTCATCATTCCACATCATTATCAGTGAAATTGCAAGGGTTTTATTAAGGATCTCAAACATTTTTCATAACAAAATAACAAACTTCGTAACAAAAAAAATTATAATGTTTATAACAAAATAACAAAATGATTTTGGTTAACGAATGCCCTAAAGGCATTGATTAACAATGTTTAAATTGATTTTACATTACATGTTGTACGCACTCCCATGCATCATGTACAAACATTTTCAATTTCTTATCAAGTGCTCTAACGGTAATCATTAACAAAACTATAACAAAATTTCATAACTGAGACATTTTATAAAATACGTCACAATGATTCATAACTAGCGTCACAAAAAACTTAGTAATTATAATAAAAACAAAAATAAAAAGTAAATAAACTTGCTGCTTATGGAGGATGAATTAAAAGGGCAAATGCTGGATCAGAATTATTTATTTATTTATTTTGCAAGATAATATAGCAGCCAAAAGAGGACAAAACGAGCAGACAGAAAATACAAAGACGAAGAAGAAGAAAGAAAAGAAATGAAAAGAAAAGAAAAGAAAAGCTTCTGGAAAAGAGCCTTCAAGGAAGAATCTTCTTCATAGAGTTCAGTAATTATAATGAGATCTTAACCACTTCTCCCAAAGTCAAAAGGGGACCCTCCGAGACTCATGGAGGTAATTGGATTGTTACCGTTATCAAATTCAATTTATCTTTTTTAATTTATCAAATCATAAAGAGTAAATTACAAACACCCCCTCGAGGTTTGAAGAAAATACAGATTCTTCTCTGAGGTTTAAAAAATTACATCCCGCCCCTTAAAGTTTATATTTTCATAACAAATTACCCCCTGAGGTTTTTATTTGCATACAGATTCCCCCTAATTTTTCCTAATTTGTTATGAAAATTTAACCATCAGGAGGTAATTTGTAATTTCTCAAACCTCAGGAGAAAATCTATATTTTAGTGTTTGTAATTTGCCCAATCATAAATTACAAACACAAACACATCACTTCGATTACATTTGCACCTACTCGTAATAAACACATCTATTCCATAACAAGACCCCAAGTTATGTCAAATGAACTTTTCAAAATAAATCAAATACCCATGTTAGACATTCGGACAAGAATATGGGAGATGTATTATATATATATATATATATATATATTATACATGATATAAATGTCTTTTTGATAATATATGTTACATATAACACAATTTTATCTCACATACTTGATTAAAAATATAAAAATATAACAATTTTTTACCAAATTGGCGTATCATTAATTTATGATTTGATGAGTCTAATATCTAAATATATATGAGCACTCGATACCCGTATCTGAGTCCATATAATATAGCCTACAAGTACAATGACATTTATTGAGAGAATTCATGAACCGGGTAAAAAATATCTAACGATGTTCATCCGATAACAAATATCAGTTTCTAATCAAACAAATATAAAAAGAGAATTGTCTTTCACTGATGATGCAGAGGACAACAAAGTCAAGCGACCAAAGGCACGTTTTGCTCAAGTGGGTCTTATAATTCACACACAACCCAACCCTCTATTAATTATAATTTTCCTTTCACTTTCTGCGTATATTATATATATTTAAAAACCTAATTGATGCCTATCACGTTGTGAATGCAATTATACAACTATAAATATATACAACTAGAAATATATTTTTTTTCTTCTCTTTCTTGATTGCAAGTGTGAATCAGACAATCACAAAGCAAGAAGCAAGACGAACACGAGATTAAAAGTAAGATATGGGATACCAACTCTGATAAACTACCTTTTCAAGATTTACTAACTCCAACCTCAATTGACCTGAATTTTATTCAGTCATAGAAAGTTCTACCAAAGTCTTCTAACAAATAAGATTTCTTCAACATTAAATAACTTAACCCTACAATCATTCAATAATTTTAAATTCTACAGTGGCTAAAAGGATGAATTGGTATAAACACATGAAAGATTGGTCCATTAGCCAAATGCATTAGTGATAAATCAGATAAAAAAAATTGCAACTTATAAAAGACTCTAGTTACAGCAAGATTATATAATGAGGAAAACAAAATGAATGCAGCCTTAACTCCGTTCAGGGGAGGTGGTTTCGGTGACTCAACCACGCCACAAAGGTTGCTAATGCCAGGACTTAAGGAAATTTGGTCATGTAGCATTATTAAAAGAAATTGAAAAAAGAGAATAAAACATAAAGCAACTTAGAGAGAGAAAATGAAGATTTTCTTTTTATAATATTGTGGGGGTGGGGGATGGAATAGTTGATGAACTCTACTTTGGTTCTACATTGTAATTATAATTGTTGAAAAAAAAAAAAAACTTGTAAAAACTTTCAGAAAACAAATTCTTAACTTTCATACTCAGTCATGGATTCTGCTAATGGAGATGGTGGAGCATCCAACCTTGTAAGAACTTCAGGCACTCCAGTACTATCTCTTATTATCTGCATCAAGGCCGCCAGAAGGTTGAAATGTAGCAAGTGTAAAAACACTAGGTAAATACGTGATTTTTTGGCTTAGATTAAGCATATCTAGCACTAACATACTCAAAACCAGATGGCATAAAAATAAAACTGTTGCCAACTGTTGCTCTTTTGTTAATTTAGATTGTTATAATGCTCTACATGATTCTAAATTTCTTATAGGACACATGCTTTCTTCAAGTTAAAATTATAGAAACGTTACTTTTCGTTTTGAATCACTACAACAGGGCAAAAAGAGTCTCAGTTCAAAATAGCATTTATTATATAGCAATATAAAGTGACAGACTTAGAAACATATATTAGAAATTCGGTTAAGGGTCAAGACTGATGAATCTAACACAACCAAATATTGGATGGCCACAAGAGAGGATCACTATGTAAAGGAAAGAGAGGTATGAAGCTATGTTACTAGAAAACGCTAATACCTTAGCGAATTACGTATTGGTACGCATGTTCCAAAACATGCTACACTTCCGTTCCAAAACAGGAAATTTAGAGGTTGTTTGAGATGTTCTAAATAAGTACACTTTTTGACTTTTTATGAAATATGAGTTGGGTTTGAAGTGATGTGGTAGAGAGATGATATGACTTAAATAAGATGATGTGACTTAAATAGGATAGTGACTTTTTAACTTTTTGCCTTTTATTAAAAATGCCAAACCTGGCCTTAGTGTTCCAAAGTGATCCCACAAGTTTTCTTTAATATATGCCCTTAAATATTACCTTAGGAGGAAAAAATTCAAATATAACGAACTAAAATCTAAGGTGAGTTAAGTTTTAACAAGACAAAAAATCAAAAAATAGGTCATAATGCTCATAGAAAATACTACATTTTACTAGATATCTAATAGTTAAAAAAAAAATTACTTTAGAAGTACTATAAATTCTTAAGTATAATATATAAAAGTCTACTCCTATCGAACTACATTTTAAAACATATGACGTATCACGTTCCCGTTCTCGTTCCACGTACCGAAACAATCCACGTTTCAGGTAACACAGGTATGAAGTCATCAGATGTTAGCAACTTCATGAATAGACTATATCCTTCATTCTGAGGATCAACATTGAGTTGGTGGCACACATAAATGAGGTTGGGATCCAGGGACACAGGATTTAAGGGGAGCTACATACTCCCACTTCATCATCAGATAATAATTCTTCAGAAGAACATTTTTGACCAATTGGGAAAGGACATCATACTGAAACCTATTACATTCTTTATCCAAAGTGGTAAGGAGTGGTCAATGTTCTATAGGAAATAAGCTTATTCTCTAGCGTCAATAATGAAGAGCAATGACTTCAACAATGACAAGGAATGATCTGGTCAAAGATGAAAATGCAACTACAGTTTTACTCAAAGATAGCGTGCAAGGGCCAAGTTAGAAGTGTAGCTGTAGTTAGTTGGTACCAGCACTAATAAAAACAAAAGCTTTGAAGGTAGCAACATTCACAGTTACAAACTTACCAGAATCTCATCATCAAGATAAGAAATTATAAATAGTCTCTGGAATGTCCCACCTAAAGACATGAAAAATAGTACAACTTAGCATAGGTTGATAAATAGATGGGGATAAAACATATACGAAAGGATTTAACTAGTCTACACGATTGCCAAAGAAGTTTTCATTCTCCTTTTTATTTCTTCTTCTCAAAGGGAGGGGGATTTGTTTAACATTTGTGATGAACAAGCAAAATAAACATGCTAACTGTTAACCCACACCCTCAACAAGAAAGCCAGGAATTAAATGCTGAGACGTAAAGGAATTTTGCACTAGGATGGAATAGCCAAACAATAGAAACCGTAGAACAAAGATATGTAAGAATTAAGAAATATTCTAAATTGGTCATTTATCTTATATCTTCAATTGATGTTGGGTTAATTATGTGGACACCCTCTCAACCAAGGTTCTGAAAAACAGTTGTGGTCGCCGTAAAGGTGGCGATGGTGCGGTTGCAGTTGCAGGGTGTAAAGGCCGTAGCGTAACGATTGCGATAACTGGAACAGTGAATTTTTTCATTTTTCGCATAATTTAAAAAAGACTTACCGATACGCATATTTTTTTTTTCCCATAATCATATTTATTGGGTTATAAAATAAATATTGATCAATTTTTGTACATTTTTAAATATGATCCAATATTTTTCATATTTTTAAATCACTATAAACTGAGCTTTTTATATTTTATTTTAATAATTAATGACTTTATATGTCATAAATCCATATTGGTCTTGTTTGGTAAGGCTTATTTTCAGCTTATTTCAACTTTTAGCTTAATTTAAGCTATTTTGATGTGTTTGGTTCAACTTAATAATACAGCTTATAATTTTTTGTAAGTCAAAAATAAACTTATTCTTTGAGTGGGGGAGGAAAAGCTTAATTTATAAGTAAAAAATCAGCTTATGTTCACAGTTATAAGCTATAAGCTGTTAAGTTATAAGTTATAATCACTTTCCCACAGCTTTACCAAACGGGTATATTATGCTCGTGGCAAAAAAAAAAATTATTGAACTTAGATATATAAAATTATTTTTTTAATTATTATACTTGTGGAAGCATATGCAACTTTTAATTTGAATAATTTTAAAAAATAAATTATACATGTTGATGTAATCATATAAAAATTAAAAAAATATATTATAAAGAAATTTTTTTTGTTTGGGTTTGGATCACTTGAATATTCATTCTCTTTTTGGATAACTAGTAAATAAAAATAAAATAAACTAATCAAAAAAAATTGACATAATAGCCTAAATAAATATATATATATATAAAAATAAATAATGATCACACTTACTATTATTATTATTTTCAAACAATATATAGATAGACGCACACAAACAAAATGGTGGAGTGATAGCAGCTGAATAGAATAAGATAGGTCTTACAACTTTAATAAATCAATAACATATTCATCATCTTCTTTTTTTTCTCTCTTTATTTCTTACTCCATCTTCCCTTTTCATCTTCCATCTTCTCTCTCTATCCCTCTTCCCCCATTTTCAGCTTTTTTTTTTTAATTTTTTTTCAAAAGAAGCACTTCGGAATCGTTACGTAACGGTGCGTAACAGGCCGTTACGGCCGCTACGGCACCGTTACAACCGTTGTGGCAACCGCTACGGCGGACACAACTGTGAATCTCAATCACACTGCAAAAGCGGCTGTAACGGGTGGCGGTAACCACCAAAACTATTACGTAACGATATTATGTAACGGTTGCGGCCGCTTTTTAAAACCTTGCTCTCAACTTTTTTTTTTTTTTTTTTTAAAAAAAAACAAAAAAAACAAAAAAAAAACAAAAAAAACAACCATACAAGTGCCCATTTTTGAAGGGTGAAAGTAATGCAACTTCATAGTTGAAGGGGTCCACATGAACGATTTTGAAGTTGATGGGAATAAAGTGATATTCAATGATAGTTGAGGGGTGTCTATGTAATTAACCCATTTATGTTTCAGCCAACATGAGGATATTGCCTGTAGAATTACAGAGAGGGGATGAAATGGAGAATTGTTCACAAATGCTGTTTAATTGTAGAATACTTGTTAAACAAAAGGGCCTTTCATAGAGCAGCATTAAGGCGATTATGCACTATAATTTTTCTATAAAATGTTATTTACTCAAGAAACACGTTCAACATGTGTTGCCAAATTGATGATGTTGGGATAGATGAGATGCATTCTTAAGATGTAGTGTAAATTTAGTGAATGAACTAACATAGAAAAATGATTTGAAAAAAATTAAAAACACAGTAAGGGAAAGAAAAATGCCAAAAAGCAGGTGGATACAAAGTAAAAAGAAAGATAAAGTGACCCATAATTTTAACATGAAATATAGCATTACTAATATTGTTCAAACTAATGAAAGGGTTTGAGTTGACGACCCAAGTGTAAGTTTAAGGCATTTCTGAGTTGACTTGAATTAACAGGTTAATCAAACAAAAACCTTTGGGAAGCAAGGTGATTTTCTCCAACAATGGAATATAGGTTATTGATATCTACCCACACAACAATAAAAAACAAGACCATCAGTACCTATGAATCTGATGACCAAAAGGGGTGAAAAGATTCTAAAATTTAGACAGACAGCAGTGCGAGTCGTACAAGCTATAATAAACAAACAAACAAACAAACTCAATAGGATATACATGAAGGCTGCCATATTTATCTCATAATCTTGTCACCAAACTCCTACTTGTGTGCAGCCAAAGAAAGGAAAAAAGGATATGAAAGGGGAGCATACTACGCATGCTAAGCAAATGTGATTAACCGTCAAATGTACCACGGAGAGATACTTAATACAAAAGCATTTATAAGCATTCCTCTTAAATCTTGTGATGCTTCAGATTTTTCAACTTTTTCCATCTTTTATTCGGTCATGACATGATTAAAGGGAACCAGACAAATGCAGCTACATGTGGTCATTATTTACTTATAAGACTAATGCAGACTTCGAGATTCAAGACATCAAATTAGACAGCTTTGGCTCAGCACAAGTGTAGAAAATGATAGATATACATAAAAGTGCTTACTCAAAGGAACTTTCAGCCCACTGGCCATGACATCCCTGATAGAAACAGGAAGCTGCTGCACAGTGCTAACTGCCTGACCAAATGCACCTCTTAACTGTTCAGGTATTGTTTCTTCATCAACAGTTGGTAATTCAAGAACCCCTTCCATATATTCCTCTTTCATTCTAAGAGGCCCCTCAACAGAGAACTGGGTAGACAGAACAAATTTGCTTTCTATCTGCGTTTAACCAGAAATCAATTCATTACTGATCAAATTTATAACCTGGAATTGTATGATAACATAAAAATAAAACAGGTGCGAAGTGAACAATGTGAAGGAAGAGCAAGTATACTAACTTGATTACTAGAATCAGAGTATAATCAAATATAAAATACTATCGAATTGAGAATCTTAAAAAAACAGCTTAAGTATGAAAACACAAAATGCTAACAAGCATGACCCAATATTGCATCCACTTTACATGAAAACTGAATCCATTTGAGAAATAAGAAACCAAAACAGCTTAAACAGAATTTGATAAACTGACAGTGAGCTGATATCCACAAAAAGTAGAGCTTTCAATGCAAAGGCGAGGATTAAACTCCATACCAATTTCAGACTGAAGTATAAAACAAGGCTCTGTTGCATTGCAAAATATGGTTGTGCACAGTAATGCAATGCATGTGAAATCTCTCGAAAAAATTTACCGAGTTCAACAATCTCATGATTGCAGTTATTTTGCCATATCCATCTTTGATCACCAAGTCCATTTTTGACAAGTTTGCTAGTGTCGAGGGAAATCTCCTGTGGCAGCAAGAAGTTTGCACCAATATAATTAGATGCCATTCACTTTTACCAAATTCCAAATATAGCTTTTACAAATTAAATCAGTACCCCTTTTTGAATGTAGAAGATTCAAAAGAAAAAAGTACTCACTGAAACACAAATGTAGCAGCAATGAGTCCAGGGCTTCCAGATCCAAGCCACTCAAAATTCCACCGACCTTCCAAAAAGGGTGACCTGGATAGCCGAATACACAAATAAACATTGCATACCAAATCTTTGTACATCAAACTGAATTGTTAGGATAAGCACCTACGTTGTTGGCCGAGGTGTTGGATTGAGCCGCTCAAGGCCAATTATCCTCTCATTCACATCAATTCGCTGCAGATCTGTAGTCTTTCCAGAAACTACTGCTTCAAATCCCCCAGAATCTTTAAACTGAAACAAACATTCCAAGCAACCTACTCAAAAAAGTTTAAGCTCAAAGGTAGGTGAATAATACCAATGTACCACATGAAATAAACAATTTACATAAATCAATTCATTAAATTGCAAATAACACAACATCAACCAACCAATATCGCCAAATCTATTCTATTATATAAAGTGTACAACTCAGTTTGGTGTGAATTTTTTGTCATGCTTTTTTTCATTCCCAAATTGGTGTGAAACAACTGCATCAGATTTTGATTTCAAATTTCAAATTTTGATAACTTCTCAGGTTTTCTTTTTCCACTATTTACATTCAATTGGTTAATTTTCATAGATCTTGTTCATTTAAAAACTAAATGAAAAACTAAAGCTTTGACCTTTTCACCTTGTATTAGAAAATAAAAAATAATCTCTCTGTTTTTTTGAGTCACAATGAAAGGGGCAAATTATACTACTAGTCCCTGTATTTTGGTTTTTGTATCATTTTGGTCATTATAATTTCAACTGACTCGATTTTGACCATGAATTTTTGACTTTATCTCAAATTGATCCAATTGATTTTAATTGTTAGCATTATTTTTTGGCAAATGTGCACATAAGCAGCATATGCAATGCTTTCTTAGAAGAAAAATTGTCGAGATGTTCGATTCAGTGATAGTGACTTGACCTCAGTGAAGATTTTCCATCGAGAACCCTAACAGGGTTATCAATTGGACCAACTTAACACAAAATCTAAAAAATTAAGGGTCAAAATTGAGCCAAAATGACACAAGTGGCAAAATGTGGAGACTACCAGTGTTATTTGCCCCAATGAAGATAAACAAGTGATTAGCAGAAGCATTCTACATATCCAAACTAACAGAAATGTACTTTAGGAAGTGAATCAAATTACTATACTAGATTCAATAAAGACATCAGCAGAAGAAGGAATTAAATGCCAAGTCAAAAACACTTTTTACTCTCCTGAACTGAAATTAATTAAACTTTATACAGCTTTTGAAGTGTTTCAACATGAATCAAAACTCGAAGCATTTGAAATATGCAGATTCAGAAGAATAATTTTGAAATTGGAGACTCACAGCGAGAAGTAGAGACTCCTTAGCAGAGAGTCTCTCCATTTCCTTGGCGTAAGTAGCAGAAGCTCCTTGCACCGTCTGGACCATTGCCTTGCAAACACCATAATCCTCCACTTTCCGCCCCATTTTGAAAATTTTCAGACCACTTTCCGGGAAAATAGTAGCAGAGGAAGAATACGAAGAAGCGCGAGAACGGAGTCCGAAAAAGGCCGGGACTAAGCCTTGGATTGAAGAAGCCATTTGGAAGAGATTCGAAACCCTAATTTGGTGATAGGTATGAGGACGAGTGTGACTGTTTGATGTTGGTTCTGTGTGTGAAGTAGAAGGACAAGAGAAGGAAGGTAATCGCTGTTAAAAAAACATTTAAAATAAAAATTAAATTAATTAACAGAAAACTGGGAAGTTGCGTCACACGCAGCGCATGACTTCAATTTTTGCAAAATTCCCAATTTCATCACCGCCGATTACATTTTTAATGAAGCACAAATAATTTTAAAATAAGAGAGAATAATTTGAAAAGAATTGATTAGTTGATATTTTTTTGTCCCCTCATTAAAAGTGAAATTAGAGATAATGAAATGAAGGATAGTGGCATTTCTTATATTTCTTGGTTATATTTTTTATGGGTTTTAAAAAAAAATTTGCACATTTAAAATTTTTCTTTATTTACTCTTAAAATTAATTTTTATTTAAAACTATATAGAAAATTTTACTTTAATTGTCATATAATATAAATATATATATATATATTATTATATTAGGATTTAGGTTTATATTAATGTGTAAGTTATACATAATAAAATATTTTTATATCGTGAGACTTTCAATGTGTTATTTGCTGTCTAGTTTTTGGAATAAATTAAAAAAAAAATTGAAACATGAAAAGATAAAGTGAGAAAAAAATAAATTTTATTGACCAAAATGAAAAAATAATCTAACATAAAAGGAAGTCAAGTGTAATTTACTCATTTTTCTTTCAAAATGTTATTGTCTTGCTATGTGTATGAAAAATGCTTGAGAGTACTAATTTGACACTCTGTTAACAAAATTTTAGTTTGGGTCAAATCGACAAAGGTGAGTCGACAGAAAAACTAATTTTCACAACCAACAACTCAATCAGGTAATGTGGTTGGTGTCCTATGTCTTGACAGATTCAATAACTTCTTTGGAGATTGTAATGTGAATAAGCAAATGCTCACAAACTGAAAATTTGATTGATAATACTTAAACTTATCACTTAATTACAATAATCAAATTACAAGCTTCATAGCATTACAATCGATAGACTCAAATTGGGTTATAAGCACTAAATTACAGATAATCTACTTTAAGTACAAGAACTACTCTTAGATAAGTTACACTACTCATAGTGTAAAACATAAAGTATTATAACGCAATGGGAAAAATATTTAGATCATACCTTTAGGTGATAGAACCTCGTGGGTAAATTACGTGCTTCCAAAATCTGAACCACGAACCCAACAGTGGAGTGATACTATAAAATAAGTATCACCCATACAAGTCACAATGCAAAATGGCTGGATCGTTGTTTTGTGGGAGAGAGTCAGAGAGAGAGTCTAGGAAAAAAGGTTATGGGTAAAAACCAAAGACGTGGGGTTGGAAGATATACACATTATTACAACATTTATCCTCACGCAGGAGGGTCCGAATGAACTACTTATTACAAATCCAAATGAATGAATAAGTAACTAAATACTAAGCTATAATTAATTAACTAGCTATCCAATGATGCACAATGCTCGCATGCACAGAGTCTAGAAACTGCTCTGTTTGCCCAGACTATTATGTTTCACCTTCAGCTACTGCCTCTACTTCTGCACAACACACTGCCTTACCAAACATTAATGCCCGGCCGACCCTCAATGACACTTGGTCGGGCCCATAAAAGGCTAGCCCTGCCTTAATTTCATGCGAAATTCTATTTTTTGCTTTGAAGTGAAAACAGTGCAGACAAAGTGTTCCGAACTCTGTTTGTCCCTCTTATACTTCTTTATCATGGGAAAGCCTCGAGAAAAGGATAGAATTGTTTCCAAATCCATCAATGAGCAAATTGATTGCTTGATGATTTCGATGTACAATTCAAACAAAAATCAATAAATGAAAGGGACTATAACCACCCCTCTCTCTTATCATAAAGTGAACTCAAAGAGGGAGGTAGAGACGCTTCAAGATTCATTAAAATATCATGAATTGATGTAAGACAACCCTTGACATAATGGACTCGGCATAACGTCCAACCGAACTAAAGCAAGATACTTCATTTTCTTTATATGGGTTGGTTCATTTTAAGCCAAATTCATTAGTCCTTACCATCCTTTAATTCCATTAAGTCCAAAGTGATGATTATGTCCACTAAATGAGAAGCGTGTCAAACGCGAAGTAATTCTCAACATGAAAGAGAGACTATACCATTGGCGATGAATCTCCATAAAGATTAAGCCATTAAGCATAGATCTCTAACTCATGTTTTGAACAACCATTAACCGGTTGAAACAACTCTCAAATTAAAGAAATGGATGATAGATTGCAGGAATGAACACACGAATTTAATTATTAGAATGAGACTCTTGACATGAAAATTAACTAAAGAAAAGCTATCAAAGCAAGGGTAACACAACACAACAAGCTAGATATAAAGACCTGTAACACAACAAGCTATATTTTTCGAAGCATACACTAATTAAATAAATTAGGACAACCCTAAAATAGTCCCTAATATGCTAAAATACAGTAGCAAAACCATGTTAGAAGAGCACAAAATATAGACAAGAAACAAAAAGATACAAAGCTAGTTAACAAAGCTAAGGAGGGGTGGCTTACCCCTCAACTTTTGGGACTCCTAAATCATATTTTAGCCTCTGAAAATAGTCAAAAAACAGTGGATAAAATAAGAGAAATAAGTGGGAAACACAAGGATTTAAGCTTAGAATAAGGTTCAAGGAAGGGTGGTTAACCCCTTTACCTTTGGTAGCTCTTACATAACAAGTTTTAGCCCTTGAAAACAGTCCCAAAACAGTATGAAAACAGAAGAAAAAGATGAACAACGATTAAAATGAAAGTAAGGGAGAAGGTTGTAAGCTTTTACCTCTTGTAGAAAAGGTGTTCTTGTTGTAAACCAAACTTGATTCCAAAGCACTCTCAAGTTTGAGTTATGGTTTTCAAATCTCAATCAAAGTTCCAAGTCTAACCTCTTGATATGGTATGTATGGATCATGTGAGAGCTCAAAGGTTATAAGAGTATGAAGATCACTTACAAAAGAAGAAGTTCAACTCTTTGATATTTTCTTACAACTTGATATCTTGATGTTTTTTAACCCTAAAACACAGGTCTAAGCCTCCTATTTATAGAATTTGAGCTGCAGATCAAAATATCTACAGAATAGACAGCTGGTAGATTGTTGCACAATTCTTCCCAGAAAAGTCAAAAGGCCCGACCGGGCATTGATTCCCACGGCCGACTGTCACTAAGGCACGGCTGGGCCTCAGTGAAGTTCCACTGTTTCTCACTTTTAGGTTCCATGCAGGTTGGTACAATGTTCAAAACTAAGTTTCTGGGGCAGAAATATAGTGGGTATGACAGGTTGGGATTGTTTAGAGTTCGAAATCAGATTTCTTTGTTGAGAATTCAAACCACTTACACAATGTAACCTTCATCATCGAGTGCTCGGAATAAAGTACTCAAGTCTTACAAGCGATCAAAATTAGGGTGTCTACAGTTGCCCCTCTTTGACAGAGCTCAAAGTCATTTTATGATGTAAGTAAATGTCAAAACCCAAAGACAACCCATTCGATGAGGTCGTAAGACTTAGGCAAATAAACAAATGTGCAAACAATTAGTTGAACCCGAGGGTTGCCTACGTATCCCTTTGCAATCAAACCTGCATAGTTCAGGGGCAAAAATGAAAAATGATATGCAAAACATAACTTGTGATCATGCAATGAAACAATCAAAACAACAATGTGGCATCGAGCAAAAGCATAAATTAGAGCAAAACAAATCTAGCCATGTTTCACACAAAAAGGGACAAAGAAAGTACAAACCAAAGTCGGATGTAAGAAAATGCAGGCCTATCTACATCTCATATAGGAAGGGTGAAAAGCTCCATGAGTGATGTGAACACCAGGCGCACTTGATGTTTTTAACCGCAGGAACAACAACCTAACACGTCTCACACGAAAGGAGGATGAGGTGGTGTGAACAATAGGCGTACCTATTGTTTTTAACCAATTAGCAATCCTAACGCGCCGCACGCGAGATGAGGAGGGGTGGTGTGAACAAACAAGTGCACCTGTTGTTTTTAATCGATTTGCAATCCTAACGCGTCACACGCGAGAGGAGGATGGGTGGAGTGAACAGACAAGCGCACCTGTTGTTTTTAACCAATTTGCAATCCTAACGCGTCACATGCGAGAGGAGGAGGGTTGGTGTGAACAAACAGGTGCACCTGCTATTTTTAACCGATTTACAATCCTAATGCGTCACATGCGAGAGGAGGAGGGGTGGTGTGAATAGACAGACGTACCAGCTGTTTTTAACCGATTTACAATCCTAACGCGTCACATGCGAGAGGAGGAAGGGTGGTGTGAACAGATAGGCGCACTTGCTGTTTTTAACCAATTTGCAATCCTAATGCGTCGCATGCGAAAAGAGAAGGGGTGGTGTGAACAAACAGGCACACTTGTTGTTTTTAACCAATTTACAATCCTAACGCGTCACACGTGAGAGGAGAAGAGGTGGTGTGAACAGACAGGTGCACTTGCTATTTTTAACCAATCTGCAATCCTAATGTGTCACACGTGAGAGGAGAGGAGTGGTGTGAATAGACAGGCGCACCTACTATTTTTAACCGATTTGTAATCCTAATGCGTCACACGCGAGAGGAGGAATGGTGGTGTGAACAGACAAACGCACCAGTTGTTTTTAACCGATTTACAATCCTAATGCGCCACACATGAGAGGAGGAATGGTGGTGTGAACAGACAGACGCACTTGTTGTTTTTAACCGATTTGCAATACTAACGGGTAGCAAGCGAGATGGGAAGTGGTGGTGTGAACAAACAGGCACACCTGCTATTTTTAACCAATTTATAATCCTATTGCATCACATGCTAGATGAGAAAGGGTGGTGTGAACAAATAGGTGCACTTGCTATTTTTAACCGATTTGCAATCCTAACGCGTCGCATGTGAGAGAAGGATGAGTGGTGTGTACAGATAGGTGCACCTACTCTTTTTAACCAATTTGCAACCCTAACACGTTACACGCGAGAAGAGGAGGGGTAGTGTGAACAGACAGACGCACCTGCTGTTTTTAACTGATTT